CGCTTTCTCAAAAGGGAGTTAGCTTTTCTTTATAAGAGTATCAACTGTAACAGGAAATCAGGGTGGCAGAGTGGTTATGGGCTCAGCCACTAATCTACAAGGTCAGCTGTTTGAAACCACCAGTTGCTCTTTGGGGGAAAGACAAGACTGTCTTCCTGTAAGAAACGACAATGTTTGAAACTCACAAAGGCAGTTCTGCCCTGCCCTATAGTCAATGTGAGTTGCATTGACTCGATGGCAGTGAGTTTAGTTTGGGGTGGGGGAGGTGGAGAAGCCATCCATCCCAATCCGTGGCTACGACCCTCCAAAGAATGAACCAAAAGAGTGGCAGTGAACAGAGGAAAGACCAGCCAGCCTCAAGGGTCGGTGAGGAGGGAATGGACACGGTGTGGTGAATTACTCTATGGCAAAACCAGAATTTAAAGAGAAGGAAGAGAAGTCTAACTACTAACCACCAGCAAGGTCCGGGAAAGGCTCGGGTGGGCATTAGTTTACAGTCACAAGATTGCCACAGGGTGTTTATAAAAGAAGAAAACCTGGGCTTTAAAAAAAATAGACAATTAAGATATTAAAGAGACCAGTGAATTAATGGGGAAATTTCTAGATGGAGAACATGGAGGCCGTAAGAAGAGAAGTTAGCTTTGTAATGCAAAACTTAGCAAGGACTGAAATGGCAGTGGCCGGAGGTGAGTGCTTCAAAGACTGTTGATGAGAGGATGCAATGGGTTACCTGGATGACAGCCTTCAAGATGGAGGGGTTCTAGGGCCTGTGATGTAGTGGTTCTGGCCTAGAAATGGGGAGTTTGGAGCAGGGAAAATGCTGTCTTCTTACTCTGTGAGGCTGAAGAAGAAAAGGAAGCACCCCACTGACACCCCACCACCACCGCCAGCAGCCGCCACTTTGGAAAAGTCTGCAGGGAAGTCATGTTCCTGTGAGGATCCCATTTCTATTATCTGTAGAGAAAGGCGTGTGTCAAACATCCTGAGTGTATTGAAAGATTGACATGTGAAGTGGAGGCATTGGGTCAAGTGTGCCGTCAGAGAGTCAGAGAGGGGCAGGCAGAGCGGGAGGGAGCTGGGTAGAGGTGGGAATGTGGAAGGAGATCAACCATGAGCAAGGTATGTATACCAAAGAGTATCATTATCATGAAAAATGCTTCAAAAGGGGAGAGGAAATGTGGGAGATAAGCTTTCCAAAGTGAGCCCAAAGCCAGGATAAACAGGAAGGAATCTTTAAGTTCACCAAGGCAGGTGAACCCCAAATGCCTGACCTTAACTTACTCAAGGTCACAGGGAGGCAAGAAGCCCAGCCATGAATCCCCGCCTCAGTGCTTGATCTTGGACAAACTTCCTTTACTTTCCTGCATCAAAGCAGACATCCTTAAACTTCAGTTGGTATAAGAACCAGCTTACTTTTCAAAGGAACGCAAAGGCATTCGGCTATTTGGGCTCTACTACCAGAGACCAGTTTCCAGAGGGTTGTGTATTGTCCTCATGAATCCCAGGTGACGGTGGGACAGGGGGACAGGTGGTCACCAGGGCACACTTTGAGAATCACTGTCCTGAAAGAAAAGCTTCAGGGCAGAGAGTCACCCTGGTGCCCTGTTCTCTCTCACTCCCAGAGTGCATTGCTGGTGACACACACGTCTGCACACATTTGTGCTGCTCACACTTACTGCCGACTTTCAAACCTTATAAAAGTGCTCCTACCCCTAATGTGGACTGTGCACGTGCGCACGCACACACACACACATACTCTGGCATATTCTCCCCTTAGAAGAGTGTATTGCGGAAGGCGTGTGCAGAGGGGTCGAGGGGCAGATTTATAGTAGAGAAACTTGACAAACATAACCTCAGCTAGGTGGCCACGGTCACCACCCGTAAAGATACACTGTGTTGGTAGTCCAGACACTGGATTGTAGTGGCACTTCACCTCGGTGGTCTTCCTCCCCCAAACCCATGGTCTCTCCATGAGAGAAAGCATCAGACAACCTCTAATTAAAGAACATTCTACTGGGTCTGAACTCCTCAAGACTGCCAAGGTCACCAGAAACACGGAATGTTTGAGAAATCATCAGAGTCTAGGGCAGTGGCTCTCAACCTTCCTAATGCCTCGAGCCTTTAATACAGTTCCTCATGGTGTGGTGACGCGGCCCCCCCCCCCCCAAACCGAACCATAACATTATTTGCGTTGCTACTTCATCACTGTCATTTTGCTACTGTTGTGAATTGGGCGACCCCTGTGAAAGGGCGTTCGACCCGACCCATAGGTTGAGAACCGCTGGTCTAGAGGCAGCTGAGAAAATAGCCAAATGCAGTGTGGAATCCTGGAAGAGAAAAAAGATATTGGGTAAAAACTAAGAAAGCCTGAGTGGAATCTGGAGTTTAGTTCATCATAATGTGTCAAGATTAGTGACAAATATGCCAATACCAATGTAACTGCAGGCAGTACCTAGATTACAAATGAAATCTCTCCCTAACTGTCTTAAAGTAAAATGTATAGGTTAGTTAGAACACTTCTTATGTATCCTTCTTATTTAGCTCCTGCAGAAGCCCTGGTGGTATAGGGGTTATGCTTTGGGCTACTAACCCCAAGTTCAGCAGTTCAAAACCACCAGTCACGCTGGAGAGAAAGATCAGAGAGACTCAACTCCCAAGAGTTACAGTTTAGGAAAGCCACAGGGGCTGTTCTATCCTGTCCTATTAGGTCATTGTGAGTTGGAATGAACTCATGGCAGTGAGTTTGGTTTGTGCTTTATTTATTTATCTCAAGCCTTTTCAATGATGTAAACGCTGCATGTGTAGCAGATGAAAGTGACTGCGAAGAAGAATTTGTTGCCAATAGGTGTTGGCTTCAAAGCGAGGGCATATTTACATAACATTCAAGGGCAAACAGGAGTTGTTAACAGGAGGGGAAACTGGATATGTGGGGCGGATGGGATCCGGGCCCTATCATTTCTGTCAATCTAAAAGGAATCCAAAATTCAAAGTGTGATTGTCGCTTTCTCAAAAGGGAGTTAGCTTTTCTTTATAAAGCTGGGTGACTTTTTCCTACCGAGCTGTCGCTTCCTAAAGGGAACACCGAGCTCGTGGTACAGCCCACAGCGGATGCTCTATTGAAGGCCACCCACTGTTGTCAAGGGTGATGCGTAATCCCTTGAGTATCTTCATTCTCACTTAAAACTTGCTGGATAAGTCTACTGTCTCGGCAGCAGCCAGCTGATTAGATATACGATTCATTCATTTGGCTTACACAGTCCAGTCCCTCTTCCTGGAGTCCCTGGGGAGACCTTGCCAAGGGCGTGATCCAGATCAGAGGGTTGCTCAAACGACAGCTTGCACTGGACCATAAATCACACTTCCTGGGGCTTTGGCCATCCACTAGGAGGCCGCGGGAGCCCCCGACAGCAGGGCCTCGGGTCCACCTCGCACCACGTGCAGCCTTCCGCACAAGCCCCTGTCGCTGTCCGGGATGCAGATGGATGTAGTTGAATGCTGACTCTTCGCCATTGGGTCTGCTTCTCGTTATCCGTGCAACCTAACGGGAGACCTTTTCTTCTTCTCCATGACAGGGAGAGCCCGGAGATGCAGGAGGAAAGGGGGAGATTGGCTTTCCCGGTCCTCGAGGAATGCCGGTTGGTGATTTACCGCTGTCTTGGATCTGGCCTTGGCAGTCTTCTAGTTACATAGACATCTGGTGTGATTCTCTGAAGAGCGTTTAAAAGATACTATCCCAAGTTGACCTCAGAGTTTTCCAAGAACTGTCAGAGATAATATCTTTGTCTTGGCCTAGTTCCTTGGCCAGCGACCAGTCTTCCTATGGGGGCAATTTCCAGGTACCAGATATTATGGCCAGGAGACTGTCGCTGCCAAATTGTGAAATGGACAAACTTGGCCTTCAGTATTCCATAGCCCTTCTTCAAAGCCTCTGTCCCATCCGAAGCGCTCTATCAGACACCCATCCCGCCGCCAGGATTTCTCCCTCAGCCCTCCTGCAAGAGTTAGACAGCGGCCAGTGCCCAAGCGCTCAGCGGCTGCCCATTGGGCACACCCACTGTGAAGATGGTGCAGGACTGGCCGAGTTTCCTTCAGACGCACGTAGGGGTGTATGAGTCAGCACCGACCCGATGGTGCCGGCTGGTACCTAGACAACATTTGTATCCGGTGACTTGATTAACGGACTAGAGCTCGGGTCTGAGATACCTGTTACCCAGAAGAGATCATACTGCCAGCTGCTTGGATTGAGATATTACTATATTCCAGTTATCCTCTCATTTAACCCTCACAGCAAGTAGGCACTGCTGCCATTTTACAGATGAAAAGGCCAATGGGTTTGACATTGCATCTTCCTGCCAGTTGCCTGTAGTGTCACTCTCACAACACGTCAGCATGCCCCACAGTGAGCACCCTCCTCCCAGTTTCCCCCTAATCCAACCTTACAGCCAGCTACCTTGCCTTCTTGTGGCCAAGTCTGCCTCTACCAGGCAGCAGGGAGGTTGTCATGAATTGCTTTGTTTACAGGGTGCTTTGTTTACAGGGTGGCGATGGCAGCCCAGGTTATGGTCCCGTCGGGGTTAAAGGAGCCAAGGTAAGTTACATCTGCCGGATGCCTGACATTCCCCATTGGTTTGTTTATTTGCTTGGCTTGTTAGTTTTGTCCACGTACCACCTTTAAGAGGAAAAAGAAGACGGCAGATGGTGAATAAGAAGATTATCTTGGAGATTTTTGAAAAGGTCCTTTGTTTGCTGGTGCGCGTTGGGAATCTGAGGCGGGAATAATTGGTCTGCTGGAGGAAGGTGCAGGCAGCCATTGAAAGTTGAAAATGAATTTTCTGCCAGAGGTGTTTGGCCAGGGCCAGACGTGGTCCCGTCTGAGCCGCAGCTGCCGCTGTGTGTGGCGCGCACTCAGAGAAACCCCTCCGAGACTTCAGCCTGCAGCCCCTCCGACTGCTTGCTCCAGACATCCGGGAGACATTTCGCAGGACTTTCCTAAGTGCACTGGGTCAAACGGTAACTTAAAAACAAACCCTAGAACTTCAGGTCAACGAAGAGTGATTTTACATTGTCACTGAATAGTTAAATATCCGGAAGCGGGGCACGTGAATGTCTCCAAACCAGTGATTTCTACACACCTATTACAATCACTTAGAAATGACCGTTTGCTTTTTAACATCTCAACAACAGAAACCAAAACAAACGTGGTTCAGAATATCCTTTCTGAAAATAGTGTGTGGGGCCTCTAGCAAAGATGCAGAAGAGCATTCGGAGAACGGGGAAGCCGAAAACCATGTAACACGTGGCCTTGCTGTTCCTGGTGAAATCGCAGCCGGAAGAACGCAAGTAACTGTCTGGAAAAATAAACAAAGAGAAGAAGAGGAAGCTAATTTTGTTATAAAAACCGGGAATTGATGAATAAGGATTATCCAGTGAAAGGGTAACTAAACAGGGAATAATTGAAAGCAACTTAATTATCCCAGGATGGAAAAAATATTAACTGGTACCCTTGGAATATAAGACACCCTTTAAATGGACAGTTTATAAAAGTCATGTAATTATGTCAAGAAATGATTTGACAATGTCAAGTTTAAGAAAATCAAAATGTAATTAGAAAATCACTTATCTCACGTGTGCTAAAACACATCCTAGAAAGCTAACAGAAAATGCAACAAAATCTTCACAGTGATCACTTCGATTTTGGGTCAGTTTCTTCTTCCTACTCTTTTGTGCTTTATAAATGTTATAGAACTCACTACTCTAGTAACGAGAAAACAAACTTGACATTCAACAAAATATGTAATCAAATAAAGATGTTCCTAGTCCTTCAGCAATCACCATTGGCCAACGTCCAGTAAACAAAGGTCCACAAAATGAGTGATCAAGTTCCTGCTCTGTAGAGAGAGAGGTGCCATTGACACAGGGTGATGTTACAGACAACAGACTGAAGCATCGCCTGGTCTCGCCTCATCCTCCCGGGTCTTGGCATGTTCGAGTTATCCAGGGACCCCCTCAATGTTTCTGACATTCCTCTTCTCTAGACAGGATGTCCCCTTCCAACCACCGACCCCCACCCCCTGAGGACACGTCCAAAGAAAGGGAGTTGAACAATGTTCTGTTGTGAGCGATAGTATGTTCGTCGGCTCATATTTGGAATTGATGTGTCAGGCTTTCCTTCCTGCACCATCTTTGTCTGGAAAACCCCTGTTCATATTTGAAATATCATCAGCATGGCTTCCAGCATCATAAAAACCACCGCGTGGCAGGGAGGGGGTGGTTAGACTGTCGCTCAGACTCAAGCTCCTTCCTTGCCCTTGAGTTGATGCCAACACCGAGTGAGCCTACAGGACTGTCCCTGTGAGTTTCTGAGACTTAACCATGGCTGGGGGTAGAAAGCCCAGGCTCACTCCTTCAGAGCAGCTGGTGGTTTCAAACTGTGGACCCTGTGGATCACAGCCCACCCTGTCACCCCTATGCCACCAGAGCACCTGTCAGACTCTCTGGGCTTCCTGAATCTCTCCATGGAAATGCATTTCAGAGATCGTTAGAGAAGCGAGTACTGAAATGGCCGCATGCCTGTCCTATTGATCAGTTCCAATAGAAGAAGCGCTGATTGATAGCTCTCCACTTACCTGACGTTGTCATATTTGAATGAGACCCTTCAAGAGTTTCATTCATAAATTGGAGCTTGTATCTCAGAGAGCGGGGTATCGTTTCCAAGTTCTAATTGTTTTGGACACTTCTTTCATTCAGAGATACTAACCCTAAGGTAGCGTTAAGACCCATGTGACATGTGGATATGTTCATCTTCCCTCCTGTCAACTTTAGGGACAAGAAGGATTCTCTGGAGAAAGTGGACCTAAGGTACTGTGTACTTCATGTGAGCAAGCGGGGACGAGGTAGGGAATGGGAGTGGGGGTGGGGGTGGGGGCGCCACTAATGAGTATTTGAAACTATAGAAGTCAGAGCCCATGATCTGAAATGTAAACAGCACCCCCCCCACACACACACACCTTAATTCACCACTTTAAAAAATTATTTAAAGAAAAGAGGGAAATATCACTCGAAAAAGGTGAATCCCTTACCAGCCTGAGGTTATGAACTATAGAACAACAGAAAGATCATTCATTATAATAAATTCTACCTTCCTGGGGAAAAGGGGGGAGGAAGAAGCAGGATTTTCCCCCCTCATGTTTTAAAATGATGCATCTGCTTATGAGGGTATAATTGTTTTTACCATTTACGTTTTCATTTTGACGCGTGTAAAATAAGAAAGATCATTTTCAGAAAATATTTTCTCCTTCAATGCGCATCTGCCTCCCTTTCATATCCTGGGTCTTCTTGGCTGAAAGGCAAGTAAAATGCACGGAAAATGAAATGCTGGGATTTTGCCAGGCTCATTGTCCGCCAGGAAACACGGGATCAGATGCTAAGTTAGTACAGATATCTGCTCCCTGAAAGCTTTTACTTCTGAGCTAACTAGACGCTAGGCCCTGCGTTAGGGACCGGGCACAAACGAAAGGGCCCAGTCTGTGTCTCCACGGAGCCGTGTTCTGGTTGGAGACACAGAAAAAAAGAAGCAAGGCGCGTGCGCCGTGGGTTTCGTGAAGAGTTGGGGGAATGTAAAAAGAGAAATAACGTTGCAAAGAAAACTGAGAGAGACCAAAATAACAACAGCTCAAAGGCTTTCATGGTGGCGTCACTGTTTAAAAACACTGTGAGGCACACCACTCAATTGTCTTCATCATCTTTTTTTTCCTGAACTTATTTAGGGGGAGATTGGGGACCCTGGGGGCCCCGGGGAAACTGGACCCAAAGGAGCGAGTGGCAGAACGGTAAGCTCTTTAAGAGATTGCAGTAGCACAACCTCAGCCGCTTTGGGAAGGCCTTTTCCGCCTTGCATCTTATGGTCATTTGAGTTGCCCCTTGTTCCCAATGGCTTTTAAACTGTATGTAGTGGTTGGCCAGACAAGTTGGGGGAAGGGAGATGCGTATATGACTTATCCCCCAGTGCCATCGGAACCCAATTTGTCCCCGCTGCCAACATATGACTCCTTTTAAAAAATGTGTTTGTCTTGGGGTTTGGTTTGGGTTGTGGGGCAAATATGCACAGCAACATAATGCAACCCTTTCTACACGTGTCCTTCCGTAACAATCACTGCCACTACCCTTTCCTAATTATCCCACGAGCATGCGCATAAACACAATGCCCTTAGCAAAGCCTCCTCCCTCCCTTGCTAACTCCTGCTCATCGTTGGTTTCCGTATAATTGTTTATTTCCTGTAAGTGAACCAGCATTTCGTCTTTGGCCTTCTGTGACTGTTTTGCTCAGCATACTGTTCAAGGGGTCTCCGTGTGGAGGCACACAGCGGAAGTTTATTTGTCGTGATGGGGGAAGAAAAGTCCATTGGGTGCAGGTGCCACACTGGGCTTATGCCTGCGTCTACGGATGGACTTGGGGGCCGTCCCCCCTTTCTGCTGTGGTGAGAAGTACTGCGAGGGGCACTGGAGTTCTCCTTTCTGTTATCTTTTGCTTTCACTTCTGCTGGATTTCGACCTGGGAGAGGAGCCCACGTCCTTCTAAATCTCCCTTTTTGAGGACCAAGTACCATTCTCACTACTGGGAACTGAACAATACCGTTTTGTCCGGGTTTGGGGGGGGGGGGCGGGGCGGGTGTTGTTAACTGCTAAAATGTGATTGGTTCCAGCTCCTATCCCTCGCAGGATTAACACTCATGAATTACATCTTCTCTTTGTTAAATGATGTTTAATAAGATGTGACGGACAAGTCCTTTCCCCACTTAGCTCCACAGGGGATCTCCTGAGCCTCTGGGAGGAAGTTTCCATTGGGAGGATGTAACAAAAGTGTCCTGATAATCCCGTAGGTGGGCTTAGATATTGCCTCATGCTTGGGTGACTTGAAGTAAACACATGTCCCCCGCATGCCTCACATCTCTCTCCCAGGCTGGCCTTGAGCTCCAGTGGGCTAGGAACCGACTTCTTGTCTTTGCTAACTCTTTGTATAGCTTAGAACATGGGTACATGAGCTGGCTAATGTTTGAAAGAGACAGTTTTTTTGTTTGGTTGGTTGTTTGTTTTTCCCTTTTAAAAATCATTTTATTGGGGGCTCATACAACTCTTATCACAATCCATCCATCCATTGTGTCAAGCACATTTGTACACTTGTTGCCATCATCATCCTCAAAACATTTGCTTTCAACTTGAACCCTTGGTATCAGCTCATTTTTCTCCTCCCTCCCCCACTCCCCACAAACCCTTGATAATTTATCAGTTATTTTGTCATGTTTTATGGTGATTCTCTCTCAAAAGATTTTCTCTCAAAAGATTCTCTCTCAAAAGATTTCTACACTGACCGAGCAATGTAGACTTAATATCATGGCACTTAACAGGTGGGGTGGGGGGAGAGGGCTGCAAAGTCAAATATAAAGTTAGAGTGGAGCTGGTTTTCCAGTTCTGCCATCATAGCGAATTTCACCATGAGCTAGTCTTTTTCACTGTGAACCGTCACAAGGACTCCATGTGACTCCTAGTGACCCTTTGTCCCTCAGAATGAACTGCTTCCAGGTCCCAATCGACCCTCACAGCTGCAGTTAGGTTGTTACATTCATATGGTGTTTGGAGTAAGATTTAAAGGGATAAAATGAGGATTTCCTATGTCTCTTCCACCTCCTTTCCCCAAGCTCTCATTCTTCTCCTTGCGTAAGTTTTTGGCTGGTCACCCTTTAATTGTATGCTCTCGGGGGAAAAAAAAGAAGAAGAAGGTTGAAATAATTAGAAAAATAATTGGAAAAGACTTTCAAATTAGCCCAGATGCTCACCTGCACTGAAGTATCGCTAGATCACTTCCCTTGGCTTATTAACGAAACAGTTTTGCTTCAGACCAGGCTTCCAAACAGACTCCTCAAGGTTCCACCACCAGCTAAGAAGTTGTAGGTCCACCCCAAATATGCCAAATTAGCATCTTCACTTTAGCAAGACCCCGGTGTGGTTCTTCTGTCCACCAGGGAATCTCGAAGAGTCACCTGGGGATTTATTAAAATGGAGATTCTGATTTCGTTTATCTGGGTGGAAAGGCAAATTCTCAGCAGGGGTCCAGTTGGAATGAACCCCTGGAAACCCTGCTTTGAACACTGCACACATGGTAGTCTATCAGGCGGTTCATTGCATTCACCCTCACCTCACAATGCCATAATCATTTAAAAAATAATAAACTAATTGTTAGTCTGTGTTAGTCCAGGTTAACTAGAGAAACAAATCCAGAGACACGCATATTTAAGAGAGAGCTTTATATCACAGAGCAATTTTATATTGAGAAAACATCCCAGCCCAGTCCAGATCAAGTTCATAAGTCTGATATTAGCCCATATTTCCGATAATAGTCCATAAATTCCTCTTTAGACTCGCGCAGCATATGCAAGGATGCTGAATGCAGGAAGATCACAGGCAGGTGGGTGGAAAGTCCTGTGGGTCCAAGGGTGGTGGACGCATCTCCAGGGCTCTGGCTGCCATCAGCATGGCTCCATGTGACTTGTTAACAGGAATGTGAAGCAGAGAGAGAGAGAGACAGAGACAGAGAAGCAGAGACAGAGAGAGGCCTGCCTCTTCTGATGGCAGAATCAAGAGAGAGGAAGTTCCCAGAATCCTCATGAGAAGGCCACGCTCACAACAGGCTAGACTCCACCCCCTTCACTCTTAATATCCTCAAGTAGACACGAGATTATGTAACTATCACAAAGTCTGTCAACGTTTTCCTTTGACTTGTGTGAGTATTTGAATCTCTTTCTCCTGGCTCCCCTCTGGCCCCCACGTTGGGTCTTTTGTCACTGTGTGTAATCTGATTACATCACTTGCCGAGCTGCTTTCCCTGTCTCTACAAGACTATTTCTGGATTTGAACCGGAGACCTTAGACCCTGGAAAATTCCTGGTTGAAATCCCCCTTGAAAGAGATGAAGTTTCCATTGGAATATCGGTGGAGATTTGTCTTAAACGCTGCAGGTCTCTTCCGTTCTCTTGAAAGCGTTATGTTACTGGATTAAATTCTTTGGCTCTTCACCTTGATTGTATGCCCGGCTCTCCCTCACTGGAACAATTTCTTTTCCTTTGTCATGATCTTTTAACCTGGCTTGTTTTGTGTCTATGTGCATGTTTGTGCCTATTTATACTTTTTTAGCAACTTTACACATGCACATACTTTAAAGCAGGGTCACTTGATTTCAACCGGATTGACACTTGGGCCAAGTAATTCTTTCTTGGGAGGAGCTGTCCTATACATTGTAGGTCATTTGTCAGTACCCCTGCTCTTTATCCACTAGATGTCAGTAACCAGACCCCTCCCTCCAGTTCTGACAACTAAACACCCACGGCACCGAGGCAATGCCAACTCATAGCAATGCCATTGTGCTGAGTAGAACTGACCCTGACCGTTTCTAAGACTGCCGATGTTGATGGGAGCTGACTAACTCCTGTTTTGCCCATGGGGGTGCTGGCAGGTTTGAACTGCCAGCCCTGTGGTTTGCAGGCTCGTGCTTAACCCACTGCTCCACCAGGGCTCCTTAAAATGGCTCTAGATGTTGCCAAAATGCTCATAGGGGAGGAAGATTGACCACCACGCCCACTATGCCCAGTTAAGAGTCAAATCATTTCACGAGGTTTGTTATATTCAAATATGGTGATCCCTGCCCTCCGTCAACCCCATAAAGCAGTTCGACTGTGTAACACCCGGGGTCCCCAGGAGTCGTCATCCACTGAGCGGCAAGCAAGGATGACAACCGCTTGCCAGCTCCTCCCATGGTCTACTTCCCAGAAACAACAACTTTCATTTCTTTGTGTTTTTTTTTAACTTTCATTTCTTAACTGATTGTTTTGGAATTGGCACTAGGCCTCCAAATGCCGTGCTGCTTCTTCATTTTTAGGGTTTAACGGTTGAGTTTGTCATCGATCTAAATCCTCTCCAGACATTTAAATACAGTAAGTAGTCTATTCAACTGAACTGGGCCCAAGCCTTCTGACCGTGTCCGGCTTGGAAGGGTCGCCTCCAATGCCTGGTGTCACATGCCTCTTGGAGATCATCTTTCCTCCTCACCCTGAGGATTCCCTTTGCCTCCCTTCTGTGCTGAATCTCTTTCCCATTCCCATTCCCAGACAAGAGGACCTTGGAAAGTTCGTAGAAAAATATTCAGTACCTTTTAATTCCACTTTTCCACCAATGTTTGAGGGCCCCCTCTTCTTTCTCTCTCACTTCATAAAGCGCTCATTCGGTGGCTGCTAAGAAGGGAGCCTGCGCAGGGCACGTTTGATACTGGCAGCATCCGGCAACAGCTCCCATCCTGTCAGCTGGGAGAGTGCTATGTTAGCTAACCGACAATTCTGGGTTGGGATTTTCGAAGGCAGCAAGTGCTTCAGGGCCTCCTGGCCTCTTTGGTGCTTTGGGGAATCCAAAGCCATCCTGATACCTGGCCTTGAGTGTGTGACCAGTCCTCTCTCTGGAACCCTACCGGATGTTGTCTCCACCACTAGGGTTCTGACACTTTGGAGTTGTTGTGCTCTGGTGTACAGTCCGCCATTACCTATTTTCCTGATAAATGGCTCCTTTTGAGCCTGGAAATCTATGTCTTTAGTTCAGAGAAACGTGACGTACTTTGGTGCTATCTTCTCTGTTGTCTCTGCTTTGGAGCGGAATTGGCTCAGTGACAGTGAGATGGATGTGGATTTGGCTTGGGGTTTACATTTTCTTAATATCTTGTCTCCTGGTTTCCAGGGTTGGTTTGTTATTGGTTTGGGGGAGGTTGTGGGAGTGGGGGTTGCCTTCTTCCTGTACTTTCTGGGAGGTTTTATTGACTTTATCTCGCAGCCCTTCTCTTCTAGTTCCATGTCCACGAGCACATTTTATTTACTAGATCGTTTTCTGTTCTGGGCTCATGGTTGACCCATGATCGCTTATCTCTCTGGGAGGACAGATGTTTTCTTTACAGCTTCTTTTACCCAACAAAATCGGCTTCGTGCAGGGTTCTTTTAACTGGTTTGATCTCTATCCCTCCCCTGTCTGTGAAAAGGTCTGGCTTTTTATATTTAAGAACAGAGGGCACAAAGGCCAAATGGAAACTAAGCACATTGGTAATGCTTGTCGCCTAGCATTGTCCCCGGAGAGAGTGGCCTTTCTTGAGTAAACTTCTGTTGTGAGTATCTTTTGGTCTTCTTTGACTGCTCCGATTCCCCCTGAGAAGATTCTTGACAGTTCCTGCCAGAAAGTCAAAGATTGTCTGCCGGCTTTCCACTAGCACCAAGGGAAAAAAATTTTTTTTCTTTTAAGGCAGCTTGGCTTGGGGGTCTCACATTGTGAAAATCGGTACTTCATTTCATCTTCCTGGTGCCACCGGTCTCTCTGTCTGCCTGGAGCCCTGTACACAGACGCCGTGTCTTTCCCGTTTGACAGGACAAACCCTCCGTCTGCTGTTAGAGCGCGGGAAGGGACAGACACCCTGACATCGAAAATGGGGAAGAGAGTTGAAGCGTCCTAAAAAGATTTTCAGTGGAGTTTCACCCTTTTTTGCCTCGCCTCCTCATCTCCACCCCACCCCTGAGCCTTCTGGAACCATGCAGTGCAAGGCTCTCTGGTTCTGGGATTTCCTTGCCGCTGGCTTAAGATCCCACTTTCTTGGGTCAGCTACATCATTTAGTATGTAGATATCTGCTTTCCAGCCCAAATGTTCACAGTTATCGTCAGCTTTCTCATTCTCTCGATCTCACTGTCTATGCACAAAAATCTATCTACTAAAAAAAAAAATCTATCTACTTACTTGTCATTTTAGTGGGATATCCAGAGGGAACAAAATTAGATGCATGTGTTCCATCTGCCATCTTTCCCCCTAGGAATTTTAACCTGTGCCTTATAAATAAAACATGGCTGGCAAGTTTATCTTCTTTATTCTCTTCATGAAACACTGGATATCACTGGAATACTCACCGTACATAAATAGTTACATGCTGTTAAGTAAACAGGGCTATACATTTTTATCCATATAGAGGTTGTACATCCCATGGCATTTTGAATGAAGAAGGGAACATGGACCAAAAATTTAAGCCTCATCCTACCTTGATCGATAACAAACTTTCTGCCAAATGCACATGAACAAGCACCTTGGCTATAATAAGCAGTTTTCAATCTCTGTTGTCATTATCACTGCTGCTATTCCCGCTTCACTAGAAATACTTATTTCTTGGAAGTATTAGGCTTCGATTTTTCTTTCTCTGTTTTTTTTTTTTGTTTCAACTTAGTGACCTACTATCTGACTTCAATAAAAACTTCTCCTTTGTCCCAGCCATGAGCAGCTCCAGCACACTCCCCTAAGTAACTAATCAGAACTGTGCTTACAACTTTATAATCATATTGGTTATTACAACAACTTAAATGCCAGCTGTGGATGGTAGATTCAATAAGTCATAGTACATCCATATAAGAGAATACTACACAGCCATGAAAAATGTTTTGACAAAGAATATTTATTCCCTGACATAAAGATGCCCATAAGGTATGTATTAAGTTATAAAGGTGAAAGAAAAACGTGACCCAAGTAAATTTAAAAATCAATAATATATGTTAACACCCAAAGAGCAAATAATGAAAGGCTAGAGAAAAAGATAGAAAAACGTTAACAAGGGTTAATTGAAGGAGAATGGAATTATTTGGAGGAGAAGGGACTGTGGGGATTTTTCTTTTCTACTTCTTCTGTGCACTCTTGGAAATCTCTAACTCTACTAACATAGAAGTATATTTAAAACATACCGCGCACTCACACACACATATGTGTATCAATAAACACATTTTGTTTCCAGGTATCTGCTGGGCTTCCAGGACAGCCAGGATCCCCTGGGGAGCCAGGACCTCCTGGACGCAAAGTAAGCTGAACATCTATGAATCACAGCAAGTCCTCCTGCAGTGGAGAAGTCGGTAGACATGCACATGCTCCTGCCTCGGCTGTTGAGTCACTTGTCACAGTATCTCTCCACCCTCTGGGCTAAGAGAAAGGAGGGAAATGCCACCTAAACTCAATTGCCATAGCCCACATGGAAGAAGCACGCCAGCCTGTGTGATCATGAGGTGTCGGCCGGATCAGGTGTTGGAAGTTCAAAAACAAGTCATTAAGCAGACATGAAGGAACATAGGCAAGGTGGAGACCTAAAGCCCACCTGTGAGATAATGGGACAGACCCTCACAGAAGGGCCATATGGCAAGGATGATATATTGAGGGTGCAGCAGAACACTGATGAAGCACACAAACTATCCTCTAGTTCTTTAACTTTTCCTCCTCCCACTATTATGGCCCTAGTTTTACCTCACTCATCTTACTAGACCTGAGCATGTACATTGGTACAATCAAGCTCTTTCAATGCATGAAAGTCCAAGATAGATAAATCCCTCAGAAACAGTAAGGGGAGTAATGACACCCTGAAGATACGGGAAGAGAGGAGAGGAAGGAGGAACTGATAGCAATGGTGCCTGTATAACCTCACTGAAAGGGAACAAACATCAGAATTTTAGGTGATTGAATACATGGAATGGAGGAAGTTATGGCAAAAAAGAGCACAATAATAATATATAATATATTGAGGGTTCCTGGGGGTGGCAGGGTGGGAGAGGGAGGGGATCAGGACTTCAAGAAGAAAAGAAAATGTATTGAATATGATGATGACAGCAATTGTACAATTTTGCTTGATCTGATAGAACTAGGTTATAATAACATCTGTAAGAGCTCTTAATAAAATGTTTTTTAAAAATACAGTTGTCAAAAACCACACAAACAAAAATTAATCTGAAGGATATATCTATTTTTTTAAATCATTTTATTGGGGACTCATACAACTCTAGTCACAATCCATCCATCCATCGTGTCAAGCACATTTGTACATTTGTCATCATCATTCTCAAAGCATTTTCTTACTACTTGAACCCTGGGTATCAGCTCCTCCTTTTCCCCCCTCCCTTTCCCTCCCTCCCTCATGAACCCTTGATAATTTATAAATTGTTTTTTCATGTCTTACACTGTCTGATGTCTCCCTTCACCCACTTTTCTGTTGTCTGTTCCCAGGGAAGAGGTTATATGTAGATCATTGTGATCGGTTCCCCCTTTCTCCCCGACCTTCCCCTTCCCTTCCTGGTATCACTACTCTCATTATTGGTCCTGAAGGGTTTATCTGTCCCGGATTCCCTGTGTTTCCAGCTGTACCAACGCACATCCTCTGGTTTAGCTGGATTTGTAAGGTAGAATTGGAATCATGATAGTGTGTGGGCGGGGGGGGGAGCATTAGAAAACTAGAAGAAAGTTGTATGTTTCATCGGTGCTGTATTGTACCCTGACTGGCTCATCTCTGTCCTGCGATCCTTCTGTAAGGGGATGTCCAGTTGCCTACAGATGGGTTTTGGGTCTCCACTCTGTACTCCCCCTCATTCACAATGATACGATTTTTTGTTCTTTGATGCCTGATGCCTGATCCTATCGACACCTGGTGATCACACAGGCTGGTGTGCTGCTTCCATGTGGGCTTTGTTGCTTCTCAGCTAGATGGCCGCTTGTTTATATTCAAGCCTTTAAGACCCCAGACACTGTATCTTTTGATAGCTGGGCACCATCAGCTTTCTTCACCACATTTGCTTATTCACCCGCTTTGTCTTCGGCGATTGTGTCGGGAAGGTGAGCACCATGGAATATCAATTTAATAGAACAAAGTGTTCTTGCATTGAGGGAGTACTTGAGTGGAGGCCCAATGTCCATCTGCTACCTTAATACTAGACCTATAAATATATGCACATAGAGCTATTTCCCCATCATCATATATAAATATATTTACATATGTACATGCCTATATTTAGACATCTATAAATGCCCTTTGCCTCCTAGCTCTTTCCTCTATTTCCTTTGACTTTCCTCTTGTCCCACTATCATTTTCATTCTTCATTTGGGTTTCAGTAATTCCTCTCAGTTACATTGCCCTTGATCAAGCCCTACCAGTCCTCCTACACCCTCCTCACCATCACTTTTGGATCACTTCTTGTTCCCTGGTCCCTGGGTTAGTTAATTAAGGGTACATTTAAAACCAAATTAAATACAATTTACTGATAGCCCTCATTCTGATTTCATTATCTTTTACTCTAATCAGCCCTCCAACTGAAAGGGAATCTTTCCAAATTTGACCGGCAATCAAATAAACTCAAAATGCAGACAAACCTCCTACAATTTGCCACAATGTGGAAATAGGTATAACTGTGGTGAATGGCAAACATGGTTTTGTTTGAAGGAGTCCTATATAAATAAACATATGATGAAAGTGGAAATACAATGCAACTGTGCCAAATGGTATTTTCCAATTTCTTCAATAAAGATAGTCTTTGTTTTACTTGAAGAAAAACAAAAAACAAAATCAATTGCCAGCTCTTGAAAAGAATAGAGAGAAAATGAAGGCTGATGAATTTTCTAGATTATCAGAGATTTTATATGTTCGAGCCTTGCCCTGTCATTTCATACATGTGTTAGTCTGGGTAGACTAGAGAAACAAATCCATGGACACACATATGTGTATAAGGAGATTTATATGCAAGAGCAATTGAACATTGAGAAAACATACCAGCCCTGTCCAGTCCAAGGTCATAAGTCCGATATTATCCCATCTGTCTGACAGCAATCTATACAGTCCTCTTCAGACTCATGAAACACATGCAATGATGCTGAACGTAGAAGATCACAGGCCAGTGGGTGGAAAGTCTTTGGTGGTAGAGCATCTCAGCGCTGGCAGGGGTCTCCACGTGACCATTCCAGTTCCCAGGGCTGCATCAGGGTAGGTCGATGTGGCATCTCCTCAGGGATGCCTCACAGCAAGGCAACCTTGTCAGTAGAGAGTCTCCACGGGAGTGAACTGAGAGAGATAGTGTCTCTCACCTCCAAGAAGGAAGTCCCAGATTTCCCAGAATTCTCAGGAGAAGGCCATGCCCACCCAGAAATCTCATTGGCATACTTCAGATTGACAGCCTAGACTCCACCCCTACACTCTTAATCCTTAAATTGACACCAGATTAGGTGTACCACGATACAATAAATGATCATCGTATAAATTAATGCTCAAAAGTTGCAGTCATGTGAAACTTACTTTCTTCGGAGTTGGTGGGGAGACTCCAATGCACGTTCCCTTGAACAGTCAGACACTTCCTGGTCCAAAGGTGGGTTGGGCACATGAAAATAAATCCAATTCCATTCTTTCTCTTATCCCCAACCCAGCCATCTATGAGGGAGGCTTCTAAAAGTGGATGGAAAAGTGGCATTCGAAGATCACAGATCTTTTCCAAGAACTTTTACAACTCCCTCGTATGTGTGTGATTGCCTTTCCAGATCCTGAATGGGAGTCTGGCCCCTTTGTCATCAGAACCAATGAAGGAGGAGAGTAAAGCTTAGCTCTGACTCCTGCCCAGCGACCGAGACAAAGCTGAGGAACTGCAAGCCCCGGCCTTGAGGAGGCCAGCACAGACCAGGGGCTGAGCCCTCTCGAGTCCTCAGCCCTTCGCCTGCCCCACAGCTCAATGTCAGCCTCAAGTGGTCATTCCCACCCTTGTCATCCAAAGAAGGAGCCATAGCAGAGGGACCTCTGGAAGCTTGTATGGATCCAACTTCCTGCTTACAGTTTATTCCTCTTAGAAAGTTGCTATTCATGGGGTGATGAGCACCCTGGCTATAGTCTTTGGGTCATGAGTATCTTACCTGTATTCTTCACCCTCCCCTCCCCACCCTCTAACTTCCTGTGAGGATGAACCATAACAGTTACCGATATCTCAGGGTAGCCTCTGGTATTGTGTATCCAGAGTTGTGAAACCTGTCTTTTGTTCTCCTAGGGCGTGAAGGGGACCAAAGGATGGGCTTCATTTTCCGTAAGTGTCTCCTGGTTCCAAGAGTGTTCTGAGCCCATCGAATGCAGGCATTTGACAGTTCAGGACCAAGCTGTCTGCCGGCTAATTCTCTCTGTTTTATTTTTGAACTGCAGATGTGTGAGCTCATCCAGTATGTGCGGGATCACAGTCGTAAGTACCCTCCTGGAATTGATCACCCTGGGTGTCAGTGTTCATAAAAGGAGAGCAGTGAACGAAGCACTCCGAATGGAGACCATTTACCAATCAATTTCTTAAAAGGAGAGATGCCGCTGCACATATTCAGGGCTGGCACAGACGGAGGACTATTAACATCTTCTCTGGCTGCCAGCTTGACTATTGGAACCTGTCCCGAGAATGAAATAATAATATCTCTAGTGCTCTTGGTCTAGGAGAAATTGAGGGGTAAGGTCTGAAGTTCCCTGGTGGTGACATCCGTCAGCAGGGAGTCCCGATGAACTTTTCTTCGAGCGCATCTTAACTGACAGCACAGAACTCATTCAGTGTGAAAGAGGTGGTGGCATGATAACAGGGTGGCTGAGCAGATGGGACCAGACTTTCCTTCATGGTTAGTGTCCCTTGCCTACTGCTTCTTCTGGTTGGGCAGGTTACATCTCTTGTAAAATTGCTCATTCTGCTGATATATATATATATATATATTCCTTTGAAAATTATAAAAGCAGAAAGGCATACAGATTTGGCAAATGCCCTTTGAATTTGTTTTAAGACCCTCCTAGCAGCTTCTTCTATTAAGACACACGTTAGTGCCAGCAAAGAAATTCCGTGCAGCAGATACCGAGCAAGGGAGCTTTTCGGTGCATCTACAAATGCTGAATGGCTGCCCAACAAAGCAATATGGCTGAAAGGAGCCAGGCGGACCTCAAGGCATCTTAGCAGGGAAAAGAAACAAAGGAGTGTGCTGGTCTCCCAAGACAGGGACTTTCTAAACCATTCACTGCCCTGTTGACCTTCACTCTTTCTCTTTTATTCAATAGAATGATGGTGGGAATCAAGTCTATGCACTGGGTGCTGAAGGCTGCTTGCTTTGGGGCTGAATTAGCACAGGAGGTTTCCAAAGATGGCAGCCATGTGGGCTGGGGATGGCTCAGGTGTGTGGAGGCCTGGTCTTTGAAATTGTGCAGGGCCTGAGATGCACAATTAGGTTCCCTGGTGGCATGGTGGGCTGCAAACCACACAGGCAGCAGTTCCGAACCACTAGCCGCAACATGGGACAAAGATGAGGCTTTTTGCTCCCCTAAAGAGTTCCAGCCCCAGAAACACACAGGGGCAGTTCTACCTTGTCCTGTGGGGTCAGCACCAGTGACTTCTGCATGTACGAAAGCACCCTGAGGACATAGGATGACCTCAGATGCCCAGAGGCTCACACGAGAGGCTAACACTACGCTGGCCAAGAGAGCTATCTGCAGGAATGGGAGTGTCCCAAGGCGCTGTCCAACACGGTAGCCGTGAGCCATAGTCAGACACAGCGCACTGGGCTGGTGCAACCCAAGAGCTGAACCGTTGCAATTACGTTTCATTTTAATTCATTTAGATTTAAAGAGCCACCCATGGCTGGTGGCTACCATGTTGAACAGCGCAAATGCATAGCTTACGCGGCATCGGCTTCAGAGTAAATCCACCTCTGACATTTAGAATGTGTCAACCCACGCCCCTGCACACATTCAGACATACATCAAATCCGTAACTCTAGCTGTCAACATAGTCAGTATGTTCTGACTATGAGAGCTGGGGGTTTTAGCTTTCAAACCTCAGTGACCCCCCAGGCCACAGTCCTTTGCCTCTGACAGCTGATTGGGCTCCTGACTTAGTGCCCTGCCTCCGCTGCCCTCTCCTTCCCTGGCCTATGGAAAGAGTCCTGCTTTCTCCAAGAGGCTAGATTCTGCCTACACAGCCCTGCCTGCTGCCTTGACTGTTGAGTCATCCGCCAACACCACGCAGGGAGCACCTCGGCCGCCCTGATCATCCTAGAGCGCAGAGCTCTGCTCTCCCACCAAATAATAACCCCGTCTCCTCTGTTCTTCCTCCCCAGCTGGTGGACACGGTGAGTCATCTTTATTTGCAGCATGTGTTGATCAAGAGCCAGAATTTTGTCCATCTGGAACGAAGGGTTAGAACAAAGCGTTGCCTGCCAAATGATGCTTCTGCTTTCTGCCTGTGTTCTCTGCTGCCTGGTAGTGGGGCCCCGGCCCAGTAAAGGTCGCCGTTTTAGCTGAGCTTCACAGACCAGTGGTTTGCCTGCTTGTTACTATTAACATGTTTATGAAAAGCTTGACCATTCATTTGCGTATGAGTTCTTTTTCCCTTTGGTCATCGTGTTTCTCCTGCCTTCATTCTCATTGACCCTCTGTGCGTCTGACTGCCTCTCTCGTCATCACGTAGTCTTTACATGGTTAGAAATCAAGGTGCACCGAGGAAACGCCTCAAGAATCAAAGCCAGGGGGTCCAGACAGCAACTGAGCTGAGGGGGAAGCTGGCGCAGTGCCGGAACCCTTGGAGCTCATGCTGACCCTAAAGATCGTTCGGTGCTGGTTTTCCAGTATTTTCTGGTGCTGATGACATGATGTTTCTGTAGAAACCCACCAGCACCGTGGCTCTTTGAGAGCCCGGCAATGGGGTGGGGGAGGCAAACAAAGAAAAGAACTAACGAATCTGTAACCGGTAACTAAGAGCCATCAAGTTGATTCCACGCCGTGACAACTGTTTGTGTCAGAAAAGAGCTGGGATCCCTAGCATTTCCAATGGCCACGTTTTGGGAAACAGATCACCAGACCTTTCTTCTGAGGCATCTCTGGGTGAACTCCAAACTGTCGATTAGCAACAGAGTCTACAAATGGTGTTCACCACCCACGGACTCCAAGATCCATCGCCATGGCTGTCAGGTCAGTTCTGAATTGCCATGACCCTATAGGACACCGCAGAACTGCCCCACGGGGCTTCCAAAACTGTTGTCATAATGGAAGCATGTCTTTCTCCTGCAGAGCAGCTGGTGGGTTTGAACTGCTGACCTTTATGTTGGCAACCGAGCTCTCAACCACTGCGCCCCTAGAGCTCTGTACAGCCTCTGTAGTTGCTGAGTGAGCGAGACAGGATGGTGTGCTCTGTCACAGAATCATGGGACAGGAAGAGATAGAGGCTTCTGGGGGAACGGCTCTTCTTGGAGGCAGTGGCTTGGGCATTTAGATTGAAGCCTCAGAAGGAGGTAGCTTGCAAGGAGCAGTCAGGGGGCACTGCAGGTACAAAGGCCATGAGACAGACAGTACAACAGGTAGCAGCCTGGGATGACTGAGCTGTCGTCCTGGGGCCCATGAGAAAATACAGCAGTGAGTAGGGGCCAGATCCGGTTGGCGATGATAAGCAGGCTGGCTTTTCCTTGAGTGGTAATCAGGAAGGGTGGGAGAGCAGATGGAAAGCATTGCGAGGAGGGGCGTGGGCCGGTAGACAGCTTTCAAAGCTTATTTGGACTGCTGTGGGGAGAATGGGCTCTAGGGAGACCGTGTCAAAGGCCCAGGATTCCCTGTTGAAGCACTCTGGCACCCACAAGGGGGCCTGGGTTGTTTGTGTGTGAGGTAACGGTGTTTGAAGCTGACCCTTGCCTTCCTCCTTGTCACCTGCTCTGTGACAAGCAGCAGCCATCACTGTGTAGCATGTCACCAGGAAGCAGGTCAGGTCTCTGTGTGGGGTCCGTCGCTTCCGGAGAGCCTCCCAGGGACCAGGACGTTCCTGTCTAGCATTCCTAGGCTTTCTTGGTGGGTTAACCCAGGTAGACTAGAGAAACAAATTCATAAACACTCATACGTGTATAAGAGAGAACTTTATATCAAAGAGTAATTATATATTAAGAAAACATCCCAGCCCAGTCCAGAGCAAGTCCATAAGTCCAATATTAGCCCATATGTCCAATACCAGTTCATAAATTCCTCTTTAGACTCATGCAATACATGCAATGATGCCAAATGCAGGAAGATCACAGACCAATGGGTGGAAAGTCATGTGGGTCCAGTGACGGTGGAAGCATCTCAGCACTGGTGTGAGTTTCCCCATGGCTCCTCTAGCTCCAGGGCTCTGGCTCCATCAGTATAGCTCCAGGTGGCTATACTGTCAACAGGAATGTCTGGAAGGGAGAGTGTGTGTCCTGCTTCCAGGAAAGAAGACAGGAGTTCCCAGAATCCTCAGGAGAAACCACATACCCACACAGAGGCCGTATTGGCTATGACCTGTTTGACAGGCTAGATGCCACCCCTTCACTAGTTGACAGGAGATTACGTAACTGCCACACTTGGGTTCCTGGAAGCTCACTGGATGTCATATAATGTATTTTATGAGTTGAATTGGGCTACAGGTAGGTTGTTTTTCTTTTTCCCCTTACCTTCAGTTAGCACTGTGAATCTTACTTCCCTTTATCTCTCAGTGACACCGGCAGTGGTACACTCTCCATGTGTCACTCACTCACTGCCATCCAGTCCATGCCAACTCACGGCGACACTATTAGGACAGGCTCGAACTGCCACCGTGGGTTTCCAAGACTCTCATTCTCTCCACTCTGAGAATACCCGTAGAACGCACCATCTTTCTCCCACAGAGAAAGTTCAAAGGGCTGATCTTGCAGCTCACCATCCAACGTAGAACCACTGTGCCACCAGGGCTCTGTCTCCACATGTACAGACCTGCAAACAATGGCCCAACCAAAATGCTAGCAGAGCCACCTGGATGTTGGGTCAGAATTAGACTCGTTTCATTTTTGTTGTCAAACTGACATCACCTCAAAAAGTGTTTTTTAAAATATCTGCTCAGCCCACTGCATGGTGCTCCTAAAGGCTGATAACTATTTCCTGCCTCCCTTGAGATGAACCGAACCATTTGGATCAGGTTTGAACACCTCTTCACACCGGCCAGGTGAGAACTCCTTCCGCCTATGAAGGTCCTGGCGCCAAGGACCAGAAGGCGATAATAAGGTCATGTGAAGGTGGCAAGGCCCAGCAGGCCCATGACAGAGGAAACTTGTCCATGGCCAGCCTGGTCAGCCCCAGCAGGTGTGAGTTCCTCAAATAGCTCTGACAGGCTGGAGGCCTCTCGCTGTGTTTCTTACATCACACATGCCTCTGAAAAAGAGGAGTCGCCTCTCCAAGAGAAGCATGCCATTGGGATTCCTTGTAGCATCCTACACCCACAGCAGCATCCAATCTCACCCATGATTTGAGTTTTCTTTTGCTTCCTACACATGCTGCAAAATGAATCTATTTGGAGGTTAGTTTTTGATTCATCGCCTATTGGATTCCTACCATATGACCAGGACTAGTAACCTGCAAAGAGACCTGGTACTACATGTAACCTTCAAGGTTACATGTTGGGCTGCTAACCTCAAGGTCATCAGTTTGAAACCACCAGCATCTCCAAGGGGAAAAGATGAGGCTTTCTATTCCTGTAAAAAAATTGAAGTCTCTTATCTGACCCTAAATTCAAGCTAGTGACACATAAAACCTAGATCACTTTTTTATTGTAGTTAAATAAATTCTTATATTTTTTTAAAAAATTGCAGTCTCAGAAATCCACGGGGGAAGTTCTACCCTGTCTGTAGGGCCACAATGAGTCAAAATTGATGAGATGGCAAGTTGTTAACAACCTGGAAGGTGTCACAAAGCGTTAAATATTTAGCTGCTAACCAGAAGTTTATAGGCTCTAAACCTCCCAGAGGAGCCTCAGGAGAAAGAGCTGGCCGTCAACGTCCAAAAGAACACAAAACAAAACTCACTGTCATTGAGTCGAGTGAACTCAGAGCGACCCTATAGGACAGGGTACACCTTCCCCTGGGTGTTCCCGAGATTATAATTCTTTACGGGAATAGAAAGCCTCGTCTTTCACCCTCAGAGCAGCTGGTGGTTTGGGACTGCTAACCTTGTAGTTAACACGCTAAATGAAACTCACTGTCATGGAGTCGAGTTCGATTCATTGCAGCCCTATAGGCCAGAGTAGAACTGCCCCTGTGAGTTTCTGACTTTCTGACCCTTTGTGAGTATAGAAAGCCTCCTCTTTTGCCCATGGAGCAACTGGTGCATTCGAACTGCCAATCTCACAGTCAGCCACCCAATGGGTACCCACTGGGCCCACAGGGCTTCTAGTGAACACAGTCATGGAAAACCCTGCAAATGCAACTCAGCACTGAAGCACACGGGGTCGCCATGATTCAGAATTGACTCAATGGCCACTGATCTGGTGTTTTGCTGTGTTTTTTAATAACTTGGAGAACAAGAGAGATATGAGTCCCTATCTTCCTACTTCATAAATTAATGGGGGAGATAAACATTAATCAGTTCATCAAAGAAACACAAATTGCCAACTGTGATAAATACAGGCTACCAGGATTAAGATTAATGATTAGTTGTGCTCAATGAATAAGGATAGATAATCTGTAATTAACACTTCCACTAGAGTTGAACATGCATAATTCAGGTTTCTCAAAATAGTAAGGCATATTTATAGTGAACTTGTGTTTTTTAACTGTTAAAAGCAAATATGCTTTTCTTCATTCTCCTTTGATTCAGTCTGGGCTCTCATAATAAAAAGTGTGTACTGATCATTATAATGGTGATCAGCAATGTTTCCTGAGCACCTACTCAGTACCAGCCATTGTTCTAAGGGTTGACTTCTATAATCTTCATCTAAGCAGGTCTATGCAATAGGGGTTCTGTGGCTCACATTTTACAGATGAGCAAACTGAGGCACGGGGTGGATCAGTACCTTGGACAGTATCTCCAGCTATGTAAGTGGTAGGTCCAAGACCCTAGCGCAGTTGCTGAGCTCTGACCACTGAGCTGTAACACCTCTCTGTTTATCCTGTATGTCGGTTCTATTCTGAATTTCCTAAAATTGTAGGCAGAACGTTCATAGTTTCACACTAATTCCTTTTGAAGACACAGCATGAGCCCACAGGATAACATGGAACTGCCCCATAGGCTTTCTTTCCAACGCTGTAATCTCTATGGAAACAGACCGACTCATCTTTTTTCATGCATCAGCTGGTGGGTTGGAACTACTGACCTTCTGGTTCGCGGGCAAGCACTGAACCAGTGTGCCACCAGGAGTCCCTGCAGATTTCCTGTTTTAAAAGATGAAATTGTAGACTCTTTTCTTTAGTGCTTCTTTAAAAATAAACTTGATTCTTAAGAGCATTTTTAATGGTTCAAGGTTTAAATGTTTAATCTTTATTAGATACTTAAATATTTAAAATTTTAATATTTTATTGTTTACGGTTTAAATCTTTGATTAGTTAACATCTAAAATTACTTTACTTCCTATGTACCATTTTCCCAAAAGCAGTCATTCTCTGTGATACAGGTGTGATTTTGCTTTCTGGACACCTGCAAGGAGCCCTGCTGGTGGAGTAGTGACACATTGGGCTGGGCTGCTAACTACAAGATTGGCAGTTCAAAACCACCAGCCGCATGGGGAACAGTGGGAGCCAAAAGCCCATCTGCAGAGTATCCAGTGCGATTAAGCCTCTGGCAGATCAGACTCAAACAGCTTTACCATCAGATGGAGATTACTGTAAACTTGATGATGGTGGCTCGAACATGGGAAAATTTGACACTTGGTCAGTTGACCTCCATCTTGACCCAACCTGAATTGGATCTAGGCTCAAGGATTTCTTGCTTGTTCCATGACAAAAATTTCTTCCCTGCCTTTTTAAATATTAATGGTGGTCTTTTCTTTTTAACTCTTTATTTGTATTTGTATATTCTTTTTATTATTTTATTCTTGCCATTTTATCTTGATTTTGTTTTTATTGCTACTGCCAGGTTTCCCACTTAATGAAGCACAGAAGGAGTAGATTCATAGGGATAATAATTGGTGCAATGGTTTATGAGGGGTTTGGGGGATGGGCGGAGAGTCCGGGAGGGTGAGAGGATTTGGGGAGCAAACAATGAATGCGGGAGAGGGGAGGGAGCATTGGAACTGATTGTGATAATGTTCATGCAACTCATTTAAAAAGTGATTTAACCATGGAGATGTATACTATATCAAGAAAACCACCCCCCAAAAAGTTGATGTAATGTGAAAAATGTAGCCAATGTCATTGAACAATATGTTTAGAAATTGTTTAATAGGAACCTAATTGTTAGGTAAACTCTCACCCAAATGCAACAAAATACTTTTTTTTTAAAAAGCCATTCTGTAAGAGAAAGATAAGGTTTATACTCCCACAAAGAGTTACAGTCTTGGAAACCCACAAAGGCCATTCTACCCTGTCCTACAGGGTTACTGTGAGTTATAGTTGAGTCAATGGCAGTAAGTTGGTTTGGGTTAGGTTGACTTGGGTTGGGTTGGTGTGTTAGACAGGGTTCTCTAGAGAAATAAAACCAGATTGCTAATAATTAGATAGATGATAGATAGATAGATAGATAGATAGATAGATAGATAGATAGATAGATAGATAAACACAAGAAATAAACAGTTAAATTATAAAGCAGTACAAATGGCTCAGTACAATTCAAATGTGTTAGACAGTTGTGAGACACTGGCAGTCCTTCAAGTCTTGAGGGCCGCCAGGTAGTCCTCTGCAGAGAGATTCAGGCCATCCTGGCACAGGCAGCAAACCGCATGGCAGGCCACCAACAGTCAGTCCCCAGCTGAAGAGATGTAAATTCCAATTGTGTGGCGAAGCCCAGGTCTTAAAGGAACCTCAAATTACAGTGACACACTCCACAGGTTAGGCGTCCCACAGGTAGTGTAGCCTGTAAATTGAGGCACAGAACAAGCAAGGCAGCTGCACACACTGATCAAAGAGCAAAAGACAAGAAAGGCAAGGCTCACCGAGCCATTTATCTCTCCGCCCTTCAATTAATCAGACATGTGTTTATCGGCCAGGCTGGCACAAAAACTAACTACCTCAATCCACCCCTTGCCAGCCTGGCACATGGACACAATTCTTTAGCCATATATAATTATATAATTTCCGGACATTGATGAAATCACACTTATACATATCATCAATCATCTATCATACATATATATGAAAACACAGATTCCAATTGTATCTGATATATCATACCTGAACAAAGGAAAGATATGCAATAAGCACATAAAAAGAAAATACACTGACAATTACAAACCTCGCTTTTGCAATTGATCACGTGGACGTAACTGATAGGTAGAACTACCTTCTTCTACTACCCATTCTGTATTACCTTTGCCCTCAGCAACCACCTCATCTGGCTGAGGTTTTTTTGCTGGTGGGGTGACCCAGACCTTCATTCCTGAGGGGTTTGGGTCATTATAAGTCCTGTCAGGATTGGGTTGCTGTAATTTACCATTTACTTTAATCACAGGGCATGGTAGCACTAAGAGTCAGCCTTTGGGAACTCCTGGATTCCAGACATATTCTTCTGGGATAATCATCTCAACCTCACCTTTAGGAGCTTTCTGAGACTTAATTTTAGTGACAGGTCTAGCGGACATAATAAGTGGTGAGGGTGTTTCCTGGGTGCTCTCAGCAAAATCTTGTAAGGCATCTCCCTCAGGCAATACTGCCAATGCAGCCCCACCTTCCATATCAACTTGAATAGTTCGGCGAATCTGCTCAGGTGTGGATTGTGAATTAATACTTTCCTCTGGGAGGGGTTGGGTTGGGTTGGGTTGGTTTTTAGAGTCCCTAGATGGTACAAGAGGAGCCCTGGAGGCTATAGTGGGTTATCTGCTGGGCTTACTGCAAGGTCAGTAGTTTGAACCCATAAGTCACTTTTGGGGAGAAAGCTGAGACTGTTCTGATAATGATTTACAACCTCGGACACCCTAGGAAGCAGTTCTACTCTGGGCGACAAGGTTGCGATTCGCCGGAAGAGACTGGATATGACAGTGAGGGTGGGGTAGGGCAGTCAGCCAACGCTGTGCTGCTAAAGGAAAGGTGGGCGGTTCAGGTTCACTCCTCCGTGCCTCTGAAGAAAGACCTCGTGATCTACTTCTGAGAAATCAGCCCCCAAACATTCCACCTAGCACAGGTCTCCTCTCACGCACAAGGAAGGGGTCGCTAAGGGTCAGAGTCCTCTCACCTGGGTCACCTGCTTTGTCTTGTCTTTCAGGAAAGCCCGAATGCCCCGTGCATCCAACCGAGTTAGTGTTTGCCTTAGACCAGTCCCGGGATGTCACCGAGCAGGACTTTGCGCAGATGAAGGCGATGATGGCGTCCCTGGTGAGGGAAGTTAAGATCCGGGAGAACAGCTGTCCGGTGGGTGCTCGAGTGGCCATCCTCTCTTACAACTCACACGCCAGGCACCTCATCCGCTTCTCAGATACCTACAGCAAGAACCAGCTTCTCAGGGCAATTGAAGCCATCCCCTACGAGAGATCCACGGATGTGCGCGAGATCGGCCAAGTCATGAGGTTTATTTCCAGAAACGTCTTCAAGCGAACGCTCCCAGGGCCTCACACGAGAAGAATCGCCACATTTTTCAGCAATGGTCAGTCTGCCGACACCCAGTCCATCACCACGGCCACCATGGAGTTCAGCGCCCTGGACATCATACCGGTGGTGATCGCTTTCAGCAATGCGCCTTCCATCAGACGGGCCTTTTCGGTAAGAAGGTTAGATTTGGGGTTCCTTCAGAGGTGTGGAGACCAACATAGGAGAGTCCTGGTTGTGTAGTGGTGACTAGATGGGCTGCTAACCTCAAGGTCAGCAGTTCAGAACCACCAGCTGACCCTTAACAGAAAGGAGGCTTTCTACCTCTGTAAAAAGTTGTGGTCACCCAAAACCCACAAGAGCAATGCCACCCTGTCCCACAGGGTCACTAGTAAGCAGGGAGTTTGGGGCGTGTATACGCCTACATGGGAAATATGTCAAGAAACGCAAGCTTCACAGTTTGATAGATTTACTTAATAAAGATTTCTTTGCTGTGTAGCAATACTTTTTGACTTGCCTTCCTATATGTAAAACTAGGTTAATTAGAACAAAGTCAAACTCATTACAGCCCTCAGAATAAACCCTGTGCTGTCTGCTCAATCACTGCCATTGAATCCGTTTCTACTCAGTGACCAGATGCAACCGGGGAGACCTGCCCTTCTCATTTCCCCGGGAGCAAAAAGCCTGTCTTTCTCCAGAAAAGCTGTGGGGAGAACTGTTGACCATGCTGTTGGCCGTACCCTGCCTAACCCACTCCTCCCAGGCTTCGAAGCTTAGAACTCGATCTCCCTGCCTTTGACATCAGGATGATTTGCATGGAGGTTGCTTTTTCCGTTCAACCAAAAGTCTGGGTTCTAAGAGTGCAAGAGCGCTACGTCTTTGTTCCTGGGATACCAGAAGCAAAACCAAGCCCATTGTGAACCATCCGGTGTATTCTCATAAGCGGGACCTTGAGTGAGAGCCCTTCCTTATTTCCATTTTACCTTATTGCCATTTTACGGATGAGACAACTGAACCTGAAACGGCTAAGCTGTTTCTCCAGCTTCACACAGCGAGCAAGTCTCCACGTGAGGACCTGAAGCCAGGTTTCCATTGTTCTGCCTCCTCAGGTGAGCGAGGGGCCTCGGAGCCTCAAGATGCAGAACCAGGAAAGACTCCAAGCTTCCATGGAAGTCACTAACATGGCCAGGTCGCGATGATTGTTGTTTGATGATAAACAATCAGTTGCTTTTATAGCCTAGTCGGTCATGAAAAGACCCAAGCTTTTTCAGGGAGAAGGCCCTGCCGTTATAGCTTCTCAAGGCTGAGCAGGAAAACCTGTGATGGTCAAGACGGCATGGCTGGTCTAGCATGCAGTTTAGCTCCTTGTTCGTGTAGGGCGCTTACAGAGGGCCCCAGAGAACAGCCAAGGGTGAGTGTTCAAGGCCAACCATTCGAAATGTATTTCCTTTCAAGAAAGGAAGTGCTTTAGAAACTAAATGATTGCCTTTAAATATGAAGAAACACGAGCAGAGACTATCTCATATTTGAGAAGTTGAGTAAAATAGCAGTCTGAAACTCCAGGGCAGGTTTACGAAAGAACTTGCCGGTGATGAATGTTGGTTGAGTGCTTGGAATGGACTCCATGCAAGTAGTCAAGAGGTCACTTCCATAGGGACTGTCGCTCACCTGTTAAAAAATAAAGCAAACACCACTGCCATTGAGTGGATTCCAACTCCCATTGACCCTGGAGGGCAGAGTAGACCGCCCTGTTGGGTTTCTAAGACATAACCTTTCTCACTGCCCTTGAGTCTAACTCAGAGTAACCCCATGGGGCAGGGTAGATCGGCCAAGCTGCCAGCTGTGAGGTTCCAAGGTGCAGGCCCACCAGTAACCCACTAGACCACAAGGGTTCCGAGCCTAATTCTTCAGGGGGATAGCTAGGGCTTCAAACTACTGACTTTGCAGTTAGCAACGCAGCTTGTAACCCTCTGCTC